GGGTACTCGCATGTATGTGGTACAGTTGGCTGACGGTCGAGTATGGCGGCGCCACATAGATCAGCTAAGGAGACGTTGGGCTAAGGACAGCGCTGACTCTCCGACGGCTGAATTCCCTGATGTTGAGTGGAGACCCCCAGAGCAGGCGGTGAGTACCGAACTGCCCGGTACTGTCCCCGAGTCAGGGCAGACCCCTGGGTGCGGGGCTGAAACCCCAGTAGAGTTTGTGCCTGAACCAGGCTGTAGTGAACCCCACAGTGACTCACAACCTTGTGTGCCCATAGAGCCTGCGCCGCTTCGCAGGTCTCAGCGTACGCGGCAGATGCCGACTTATCTAAAAGACTATGATTGTAATAAAGTATTTTGGAACAGTTGATGTACAACAGCATGACTTGAATGTATGTAAATAATAAAACAAATGGATGATGACTTAACTTAGGGGGGAGGAATTGTTATGTATTGAAACGATTACATGAATCACCTCATAGGACTCCTATGTTAAGCTTCGAGCCAGACCAGGGCTCCTCTGAGCGAACTTCCTATTGGTCGCTTCGTAACAGCGACCAATCAGAACGATACCATTCCCTAGGAGGGAAAGACTCCCATTGGTCCTTAACTAAGCAATCTCATTGGTTGTGAATTGTAAATAGGCGTGGCTACATTAGCCCGGTTATGTTTAAAAGGAGCATAAGCTCCCACTGTTTTCTGTTCTGGTTTCTTACTGAGTTGAGTGCTTGTTCGTTACTTCCAATAAAGCTGAATCACTTGCTGAATCACTCTAAGAGTCCTTGTTAGTGCGATCTAACAGAGCCAGATAATTTTTAAAAAATCTGCTAGTTGGTACCCAATTTGGAAATATTTGTATCCAGTGTAGCTTGGATTCACTCAAAAAGCCATGAGATGAAGACTTGGACTATGCCCATCAAAGCAGAGGGTAGACAGCTAGGATCGTCCCTGAGCAGGAACAACTCTCTAGAGCTGACAAAGTGCAATTCTCTTACACTGGAAACTGGATGCAGCAATAGACACTTATTGCTTATTTATATCCAGAGTGAGAAATTAGGAATATGTTAAAATGAAATCACGTTGTTGCAATCTGGGAATAAAAACAAGACTGCAAACATTCATTTATTTATGGAGTCCAATTCCATACCACATTTCCACCCATGCTAGTTCCTAAGGTAGCTAAGGCTGCCTCCACATGACAAGGATTCTCCACATTGCTTTTACTGACATGGCAAATGCAGAGGAATAGGCATTGGTGATGGCGCTTCTGCCCATGAGAGCTTTCTATGCTCCTTGGCTGTCTTTTTTCATGATTTTCATGTGCTCTGGTGTGACTCTGAATTGGCTGTCAGGGATGCTAGCAGTCAGACCCCTCCTCAACTGAGAGGCAGTTTATAGGTTCATAAACCAGAAACATCTCTCTTAATATCACCCCAGTACCTTAAGTGTAGAGCACTGCTGGGGCCAAAGAGGACCAAGATTGATGGCAATCAGGCAGAGGCATGAGAAAACATTTTTCAAGGCACAAGTCAGAGAGGCTGGCTGGCTACTACCCTCTCCTTGCCCTGGAGAAATGCAGGACTTTAGGGCAATGAGTCATCGAGTACCTATTGACTGACTCAATATAATCCCATCAACACTCAAGCCTGACCTCCCCATCACCCATTACCCTTCATTAAGTGGTGATTAATCAACACTTAAGTCTATTCACCTTCCAAATTACCCTTCCTGCACTGTGCTTGTAGAGCGATCAAACCTATCCCACCTCTTTGTCTACTTCTGGTAGAACCAAGAAGTGATTGTCCTCTGGCAGAGAGTCAACCTGCCTCAGGATACATTTTGCCCTATACACATATCACCCAGCTAACCCAGCTCCATGTGTTTTTTTTTTGATCCCCCGGACACGCCACTTGAATGTGGGCCTTCCCTCTCTCTCACTTCCTGAAACACTGCTGTAATGTATTCTTAGCTGCCATGAGTACATTAGGATGTATGGGAAACCTCCCATAGGGAAGCAATGTTAAGCTTCGTCTTGGACAGAGGATTCTAGTCCAAGACTCACGACCCAATCACCTTCAAGCAAGCTGCAAGCGGGAACGTTTGTGATTGGTCCTTATGCGCTCAACCTGATAGGTTGTTATGTGTATAGTGGGTGTGGCTATGTTAGCCGGGAATGTTTAAATACCGGGCAGTTTCAATGGGCAAACTGTTCGGGCTATCAGATGTTGTACCGTGTCGAAGAAGTGAAGAAAGAGCTGAATAAACTTGAGTCTTTTACTGAAATCACTCTCCGACTCATTGTTAAGTGCCGGACTTAACAATTGGCGACGAGGATGGGATTCTAGTGCGGGTAGGCAGCCCCGCTACATCCAGACCCACGACGGACAACGAAGAGTCGACCTCCATGGCCAGTCAGCAACGGGCACCACCAGAGCCGGTGGCAGCGATTGCAACGATGGCCAATAGCCCGAAGTTTGAGGCCTTCGAACCAGCGACCGAGGACTGGGACTCCTACCTGTCAAGGTTCGGGTTCCACCTCGTAGCCTCCGACATCACGACGGAGGAGAAGAAGCGGGCGACGCTCCTGAGCTCTTGCGGAAAGAGCGTGTTCGACATCGCCCGGTCCCTGGTGGCACCAGCGGACATCTCGACCGTCTCGTACAAGGACCTGACCGAGAAGCTGCAGGCACATTTCTCCCCGAAGCCGTCGGAGATTGCGTGCCGGCATGCCTTCTATAAGAGGGGTCAGGCGGCCAGCGAGTCGGTGGCGGAGTTTGTGGCTGCCCTACGAAAGGCGGCAAGGCCCTGCAACTTCGCGAATGTGGAAGAGGCCCTCAGAGACCGGCTAGTGTGCGGAATGAGGGACGACCGGCTGCAGCAGAGGCTGTTCGCTAGAAAGGAGCTGACCTGGGCAACGGCCTACGACGAGGCCATCGCCGCGGAAGCAGCCGACAAGTCGACCCGAGAGGTGCGTCAGCGTTTGGCAGCGACGGAGCTGCGCGTTCACCACCAGGGGGCCGACAGTGACAGCGAGGGTAAGCTGAGTGACGTCTGCATCGTCAAAAAGAAGGCAGACCAGCGGACCCCAGTGAAGACTTCGACCAGCCCAGCCTGCGCAGGCTGTGGCGGGAAGCACCCACGTGAGCAGTGTTGGACGAAAGACGTCCCCTGCCGTAAGTGTGGCAAAATGGGCCACATCGCTCGAGCCTGCAGAGCGACTAAGAGGTCCACGCCAGAAGCATCACCCCGGAATCAACGCTCACGAGCAGCACATCGTGAGGACGACCGTCAGACGACATCGAGCCTGTCAACCAAGCCTGCGGTTCGTCGAGTCGGAGGGACGGGAAAGATCCACGTCACAGTCAACCTCAACGGAGTGCCCTGCAGCATGGAGGTCGACTCCGGATCGTCCGTGACCGTCCTGTCCTCCCACACCTGGCAGCGCATGTTCCCGACCAGGAGCCAGCGGCGTTTGAAAGCCGCTGAAACGCAGGTGGCCGATTTCCAGGGGAGGCGCATTCCTCTGGCGGGAAGGGACACCTTTATGGTCGAATTCAAAGGGAAATGTGTTGAATTGTCATGTTTGATTGCCGAGGGTAACCGGGTAAATTTACTCGGGTTGGAGTGGTTCGAACCACTCGGGATAGCACTTACTGGGGTGAATGCAGTATCGGAAAATAAATGGGCTGTACTATATAATGAATTTCCTGATGTGTTCGGGGGCGGTCTGGGAAAGTACAAAGGGCCCCCTGTGTCTTTTGAGCTCGATCCATCTGTGACACCTATACGGTTGAAGTATAGGAAGGTGCCAATCCCGCTTAAACCACGGATCGAAGCCGAGCTGGACAAGCTCATAGCCCAAGGAGTATTGGAGCCAGTCCCATTTAGCAAATGGGAGACGCCTATAGTCACGCCAGTAAAATCGGATGGCTCCATCCGAATATGCGCTGACTATAAGTGCACGATCAACCGTGCCTTGCAGCAGCATTCCTACCCTGTCCCGGTAATCAGCCACGTCCTGGCGTCACTGGGAGGGGGGAAAGTGTTTGCAAAGTTCGACCTCGCCCAAGCCTACCAACAGCTGCCTGTGACCAGGGAGGCGGCTGAGGCGCAGACAATCGTCACCCACAGAGGGGCTTTTCGAGTGAACCGGCTCCAGTTTGGGGTAAACGTGGCTCCAGGAGTGTTCCAAGGCCTCATGGAAGGGTTACTGAGGGGAGTTCAGGGGACTGTCCCTTATTTTGACGATGTGTTGGTGGCTGGGAGGTCCGATGAGGAACTCATGAGCAGAGTTCGAGAGGTACTGAAACGGTTCTCTCAAGCGGGACTTAAGGTGAAACAGTCCAAATGTATAGTGGGTGTTCCCAGTGTGGAATTTTTGGGGTTCAGGATCGACGAACATGGTGTCCACCCCACAGAGGACAAGGTGAGGGCAATTAAGGATGCCCCATGTCCAGGGAACAAAAAGGAGCTCCAAGCATTCCTTGGACTCCTCAATTTTTACCACGCCTTCCTCCCCCACAAGGCGTCGGTAGCGGCCCCACTACATGCCCTCCTGCACAAAGAGGCAAAATGGCGGTGGGGGTCAGAGCAGGAACGGGCGTTCAAAGGAGTCAAGGCATTACTGGTGTCCAATGCAGTGTTGACTCACTACGATGATAATAAAATGTTGGTGTTGGCTGCGGATGCATCTCCTTATGGGGTGGGGGCGGTGCTCAGCCACTTGATGCCAAACGGCGAGGAAGCTCCCGTAGCATTTTATTCCCGCTCACTGTCAAGCGCGGAGAAGGGGTACGCCCAGATCGACAAGGAGGGACTGGCGCTTGTTGCAGCAGTTAAAAAGTTTCATGACTTTTTGTATGGTCGGAAGTTTCTCCTTGTCACCGACCACAAGCCCCTGTTGGGAATCTTTGCCCCGGACCGGCAACTTCCCAACATCATGTCAGCGCGGATGCTGAGGTGGGCTCTGTTCCTGTCCGCCTACGATTACGACCTAGAACATCGGCCGGGTAAGGCGATTGGTCACGCGGACGCTTTGAGTCGCTGCCCTCTGCCCGGCCTGGACTCAGACCCAGCTCCAGCTAGCGAGGTGTTAGCGATTGATGAACTGTTCCAGGCTCCGATCACCTCTAAGGACATTGCGGCTGCGTCCGCTAAAGACATTGTGATCTCCAGAGTTTTGAACTGGGTTTGGAGGGGGTGGCCTGTGGGCTCCGTGGAGCCAGAATTTGCGTGTTACAAAATGCGTCAAAACGAGCTGTCTGTGTCAAAGGGATGTCTTTTGTGGGGAAGCCGGGTGGTGGTCCCTCACAAACTCAGGGAAAAAGTGCTGAAATCACTTCACGAGGGCCATCCCGGCATGGTCCATATGAAGGCGCTAGCTCGCGGGTATGTGTGGTGGCCCAGGCTAGACGCCGACATTGAAGAGTGGGTTCGGGTGTGTGAGCCTTGTCAGCAGGCTAGGCCTGAACCACCAACCGCCACTCCTCAGAGATGGGAGTCGGCGGGAAAGCCCTGGTCGAGATTGCACCTCGACTTCGCAGGGCCAGTACAAGGGCAAATGTTTTTGGTAATTGTAGACGCTTATACCAAATGGTTAGAAGTGGCTCACATGCGATCGACCACTTCTAGCGCTGTCGTCACAGTGCTGCGACAGTTGTTTGCCACTCACGGGTTGCCTGACGTACTCGTGAGTGACAACGGCGCACAATTTACTTCCGAGGAGTTCAGGAGGTTCTTGTCTGATAACGGGATCAGGCAAATGACGGCCGCGCCGTTTCACCCGGCCTCAAACGGGCAGGCCGAGAGAATGGTGAGAACAACTAAAGAAGCCCTTGCAAAGCTGGTATGTGGTGATTGGGGGGTGAAACTAGCTTCGTTTCTCCTGAGACAACATGTTACCCCTTGTTCGGCGACAGGCCGCAGCCCGGCCGAGATGTTAATGGGTCGCCGTTTAGCAACGCTATTAGACAGGTTGCATCCAGATCTGAACGATCTGAAACCACAACCACAGACCGAGAGTCCGAAGGTCCGGACATACGAAAAGGGTGAGCAAGTGTATGCTCGTAACTATGCCAGTGGTCACTCGTGGCTTCCAGCCACTGTCACCGATGTTATCGGTACTAGAATGTATGTGGTACGGCTTGCAGATGGACGCAAGTGGCGTAGGCACATAGACCAGCTGAGGCAGCGGTGGGCAACTGACCGTCCTACCGTGCAGCCGGCTGAGTCTGCGGAGGAACCCCCATGGCCTTTAGAAGAGGCAGGTACTGTAGAGCCTGAGGGCTACAGTAGCGGTCAAGAGACAGGGCAGACCCCTAATTTTGAACCGCATGCAACGGACGGGGATGTTCCTGACTCTGAGGTCCCAGAGTCAAACGGAGTACCACTGAGGGAAAGATGCCCTGAGACGAGTTCACCTCGTAGGTCTCAGAGAATGAGACGTGCACCCACCTACCTAAGTGATTACGACTGTTCATGAGGTATTTTTGCTTAGGGGGGAGGGAATTGTAATGTATTCTTAGCTGCCATGAGTACATTAGGATGTATGGGAAACCTCCCATAGGGAAGCAATGTTAAGCTTCGTCTTGGACAGAGGATTCTAGTCCAAGACTCACGACCCAATCACCTTCAAGCAAGCTGCAAGCGGGAACGTTTGTGATTGGTCCTTATGCGCTCAACCTGATAGGTTGTTATGTGTATAGTGGGTGTGGCTATGTTAGCCGGGAATGTTTAAATACCGGGCAGTTTCAATGGGCAAACTGTTCGGGCTATCAGATGTTGTACCGTGTCGAAGAAGTGAAGAAAGAGCTGAATAAACTTGAGTCTTTATGAAATCACTCTCCGACTCATTGTTAAGTGCCGGACTTAACAACTGGCCATTTCCTTCTTTGACTTGCTGCTTCCACAGACCTCTTCAGGATCAGTAAATATCACCCATACTTAAAAATCTCTCCTCTTTCCTCCCTGCCTTTCCTAGTTAGCTCTTTTATGTGTTTACTGTGTGCATCCTTATTTTATCCTATTTTCTTTTTGTTCCAATAAAACCTTTCCCATAAATAACTACCTGGCTATTTTTGGAGTTCTCATAGGAACAAATCCTGGTATATATAGGTGGAGATCCCAGTTTCCTACCTCTCTGTTGCCTTTAGCTAATTTCCCCAATTTAAGTGGAGACTGCCTCTTTGAGTAACAGGGAAATGGTCATCATGGCTGTCCTGGCAATTCACTGTCCCCATTTTTATTCCACACATGGGCTATATCAATATAGCACTATAATGACACTATAAAATTTAAAAAGAATTAGTGGCAATGCATCATTCAATATCTCTATAGCAATTATTGAGGGGGAGTAGAATAAGCCTCTGAAAACCCATGGTTTGAAAGAAATACTGGGAAGATGGTGCTGTGATGGCCTGGCTTTGGAAAATGGCATTGATGTGGGCAGGACAAGAAAATGCACACCAGTGCTTCAAGATAGCATGCTGATGTACTTGGGCTGCATTCTTCTCAAAAAGATTGGGGTAAAGCAGTTTTCATTTGAAATGTGGTATTGGAGGTCCACGGTGTTGGATACTGTGGACTGCCAAAAAGACAAATAAGTGAGTTCTAGATCAAGTAAAGCCTTAACTCTCCCTAGAAGCTAAAATGACTGAACTGAGGCTATTGTACTTTGGTCACATTATGAAAAGACAAGAGCCACTAGAAAAGATAATAATGCTGGGGAAAGGTGCTGTTTATGACTCCAGTTGCAAAAACAGTAAAGACAATAAACAAACAAACAAACAAACTGCTAGGAAAAGTTAATGGCAGCAGAATGAAATGGATTGACTCAATTAAGGAAGCCATGGTCCTCATTTTGGAAGACCTGAGCAAGGCTGTTAAGGATAGGACTTTTTGGAGGTCATGAATTCATAAGGTTGCCATAAGTTGTAAGTGACTTGATGGTACTTAACACACACACACACACACAAAGTTTGGGGAAGGAGCATATTGGGGGTGAGAAAAACCGGGAAACAGAACACTTATCGCATAGATCATGTGACAGCTCCATCCCATCCCCCAAAAAACTATCCAATTTGAAAGTTGAGGAGGGGAAAACTGAGGAAGGTCCTGGAGGCTTGCTGCGGCATGTTAGCAGCCAATGAGGTCCATCTAGGCCATGGGTGTCAAACATAAGGCCTAGGGGCTGGAACCAGCCCTTTTAGGGCTCTTATGCAACCCATGAGCAACTGGTACAAGGGAGGCTGCTGGGGGGTGAGTGGGTGGAGCCACTGCAATTATGGCCTCAGCAAGGTGGAACAACCTCATCTTCAGCAGTCAGGCAGCATGGGAGCTTCTGCCCAGTGTTGCACCACTGGCACTCCAGTCCACTCATGGGTTTTTTCTTCTGCATCCCCCCTCCCAGCCCATGGAGCCTTGCATAGATACACCAACTCAGAGATTACCATCTTCTGTCCTTTATAAGATTTATATCTTCAGTACGTGGTATTTGTTTTATGGCACATGTGGCCCAGCCTGACAAAGTGACATTTATGTAAGATCCGGCCCTCATAACAACTGAGTTTGAAATCTCTGATTTAGGCTGTCTTTTCCCGTCCTCTTCCTGCTGATATGATATGATAGAGATATGAGCTGAAAGGTTCTTGGAACTTAATCTGGGGGTCACAGTGTGGAACCTGTGGAAATCAGCTTGCCAGACCTTGGCCAGCCCAGATTTCCTGGGTTTTGTTCATTTGTGTGCTTTTTTTTTTAATTAACATTGTTTTGCAAGCCCCTTTGAATCCCTTCAGGGAGAAAAGTAACCTTAAAATGCTAAAAATAAAGATATAAATAAACAGCAGCCTGACATATCACAATTTAAATTCAACAACAAATCAGATTTTTTTTTTAAAAAAAGGAAATGTAACAAACTTAAATTTCATAAATCCATAAAACCAATCATTTATAAGACACAATGACACATAAAGCTGATGCGATCACCTCATCACATCTTGGGCACTGAGGATCTGAAGCCAACATAACCCCATCAAGCCCAGTGACAAGCTTTTCAACCCAAATGCAATATTCATTTTGCCAAAACGTGTATCAGATGTATCAAAAAGAAATTAAAACATGTCATTTTGTGGTGAAAGCGCATTGTAACCCAAGATCAAATGAATCTATCGGGTTATTGTCTGTTTTAACTTTGTGAGGCATCGCTGGTCATTTTATTAAATGTGGTCAGTGGGAATGAGTTCTTTGCATTCTTTGTTGCCAAACGGAGGAAAAACTGATAGTTTAAGACTGGACAGATAGTTTGTGGAAATCTGGGAAAGCTTAGCCATGGAAAAACTGACTAGTCTTCAAAAACTTGTGGCAGACGTGTCTTGCTATATGACTACCCTTTACAATTGCAATAGGTGTCTGCGGTTTCTGAGCGTGAGGTTTCTGTAACCCAGTACTGTGAGAGAGCAGGGGGAGGGGGTTGGACTGAATTTACTTAGCCCCAAGAAAAGTTTCAAGGCAATTTTTTTTAGCCAGGCTGGCTCAAGAAGCCACCTTCCCTTGAACATTGCTTAAAGTTTACGACAACCCTTTGTCTTTTCTGTTTCCCCCTGCTTGCCAGTCGCCAGTTCTGAGAGGAACAGCAACTGGCTTCCCACAGAAAGAGCAAACTGGCTTCCAACTCAGTTTCCCTTTAACTTACCAGAATAGTTCCTGATGGATTGATGCCCTCAAGGGCCACTGGCAGCCAGGAACAGGTTGAACCAGGTGGCCTCTGCACTGCCAGCAATGCCCATTTGGTTCTGACCTAGGTCACAGCAGTGATGACAATGGGTGTAGGGCTGTCTTTATTGCAAGCATATTTCTACCCTATTGGGCACGGAGGGGCAGTATCGGAGTTGGGGGTGCTTCCTGGTGACAACTCCACTGAATGCTAAAGGGGAGGGTAACAGATGATATCTACCTTCCAGCATTACTTTATTTTGCCTTGTTCTCCCCTTAAGTTCCATAGCCAGTTTATGCCGATTGCCAATGACTGCCAATGTTGTGCAGTGATTAAATTGCTAGATTAGAATCTGGGAGACACAGGTTCAGGTTCCATTTACGCCATGGAACTTCACTGGGTGACCTTGGACCAGTCACACACTCTCAGCCTGACCTGCGTCACAGGCTTGTTGGTGAGGATAAAACAGCAGAGAGGAGAGCGATGTAAGCCTCATTGTGTTCCCATTGGGAGAAAGGTGGGGTAAGAAAGGAAATAAAATAAAATAAATAATTTAAGGTGCACATGTCATTCTAAATCTGCTCATTCATGCAGAGTTAAGGTTGAGCAAGAAAGGATATCTAATGTCAAGTTATGGGTTGAGCCCTACTTTTTACTTTTTTGCCCAACTGCTCTTGTCTCATACAGTTTCTGTATTCATGGAACCAAAGGGAAAGAGCTAAGCAAAAGGCACTACAGTTTCTATGGGCTCTAGACAAAATCACATTAAATGTTTCTGACCATCTGATCCCTCTTAAGGTTTTTATAATCCCCAGGAGAATCATGAGTGTGTTTAGAAAGGAATGTTGCTACCTTTCATGATATTTTGCTCGCAGGGCAGCTACATCTGCTCAGGACAGACAAGTTTCATTAAGCAGTCCTAATACCATTCAGTGATTCACATGCACTTTTTTTTTCTTTGAGTGACTTATAATTCAAGCAGTGGTAATTTGGGAGACCATTTACCCAATCACCTGTAGGATAACCATGTTGGAACTCACTTTGCAGAGTTGTGGACCCAATGAATGGATGAACCAGATGTTGAACTGAAGTGAAATAGAAGTAAGAACATCTAGCAAGATAAGTGCTTTTGGACTCATCGCTATTTCGGCCCACGATCAACAACGCTGATAAGCAACTGCTTTCCCATCTACTCAGCTCAGTCCAGTAGCTGCTTATGTGCAAAGTCGCTAGACATCTGATAACATTTTGTTAATTACTGATTAGCTGTTTGATTTTTGTATTCTATTAGGATGCGTTACATGTGTTAGCTCCCTTGGTACACAAAGGTGTGATTCAAATAAATAAATAAATAGA